AGTTCAAGGAAAAATGAACCATGCTTCTGTGGTCCCCATATGTGCCCCAATGTCATGCAAGAAACCATTTTGAAAAAGCTTGGCACACCCTGAACGACCTCCCTTGTAAGAAGCAAGGCGGCCCTGTATCAGTACAGGGTCACAAAAATTGAAGGATGTAAGTTGAAAAAAAGTATTGAAAAAGACTACCACTCTTGAAGCTCCGCGTCTTACAAGAAGTCAAAAAACGACAAAAATGAGCAAGTACCTTATTGGTTTTCTTCTTTTCTTTCTTTTTATCCTGTACTGATGTAGAAGACGACGTAGCTGCAGCTGGCGCAGCAGAGGAGGGAGGAGACTTGGCGACATCTTTCTTTACCGGCGCCACCGACCCTTTATCTTCGATTTTATTTTGTCGATCTGAGGGTTCCTCGGAGGGCTTAGACTGCTGCAATGATAGTATCTGCACAAAAGATAAAAGAATTGGTCGAAAATAAGAAAATATCCTAGCATAAAAAATGATGAACCGGAAAGGAACCTCTTTGTGCGCTTCGCCGTCCACGGCTTTATCACCAGACCAAGGTCCGTCGCTTTCTCGAGAATCTCTTGGAGTTCGATCTTTGACAAATCCTGCGCCTCCACCTCGATTCTTTCGCAGAGTGCCTGTTCGACCACTTCGTAATGAAGCGTGTGAACCATGATATTCCTAAAAAAGAGTTTTTAAAAAAATGAATAGGGAGCGTTGATGATACCGAACAGAACAATTGCTCAATGCAGCTATCTATGCAATAAACCAAAAAACCCACCTTTCGTTCGGGACGGTCTGTCCGCATTTCCGTCGACGGTTTTCGTTCCACGGTCTCTGGTTCCGTCTCAGCTGGCTTTCCACTGGCGGGTGGTGCCGTAGCAGGTTTCTCAGCACCGGAGAAGCTACTACGTCGATCAGTTGTAGCGCCGCCACGGTTGAAACCACGACCACCACGACCGCCCCGACCGCCTCTCCCTCTAAACAATGATCAAATAGACATACACGTGAGGAAATGTGGACTATGCATCATCGGTCAATTACGGTCAAATAACCGTGTAAGCATGTATTTTCATCGGTGTACACGTAGTAGCCACAAGAACTAACATGATTGATAAGCCGTACATAATTAGGCAAGATAACTATTCACATATTGCTATCAAAATGCGATATGCGAAAACTCTTAAGTGTAAATAAGTACCTCTGAGGACCAGCTGCGTCTCGTATCTCCCCAATCGTCGCACTCTTCTGAAGAGGCACGAACTTACTGTTATTGCTATTGTACACCACGCGTTGCTGGAAATGAAGAATTTGAACTACTATCCTTAAAACTAATACAAAATATAAATTACATGTGATGAGTCCATCGGATGAGATAGACCTCATCTCTTAAGCATAAATAAAAGCACTCAAAAGTACACAAATCTTCGCTCAACGCAGCGCAAAGTTAGCTTTGTTTTCACTACTTCAGACTTGAGCATCCAGTTCCTTTTGAAAAGGCAAGGAAATGCAGCGAACTTCCACTTCGGTTCCTCGGTTCAGTAAACCTGTTCGACCTTTACTGACCAATTGGTTCGACTTCACTTTACCCTCCTTTAATGGGTACATCGAAAATTCATGAAACTTAGTTTTTTCTTCAGAAGAAAAGGAAACTCGCGGCATGCCCAACACAAACACGCAAAACCCTGTTTGTTGTGAAAGCAAGTGATTTCGCAGAAAAAAACTATCTCTTGGACAGCTTTGATGAATGCAAAGCAAGATATTCCTAGTTTAGCTAGAAATAAAATTCAAAATAAGATAACCATAAGCATGGGTGTATAGTGAATAACGAAAACATAAAGAAAGGCTTGAAATGGAAATAAGAAAGATACCTTAGCTGCGGGCCTTGGCAAAGTCTCCGAGCCACTAATATTCGCATCATTTCCGCGACGACGATCTGACCCCGAATCACGTCTTCCTGATGGAACCGCAGCCTCTCCTGACGCAGCATTGGGATGGTTCTTAAAAATATTAAATTCACATATGCATATTGCATAGTAAAGAACTGCTAACACTCGTGCATTTAAACAACCCAATAATGGACCAAACAAGGCAGTGGAGTGATTTCGTTTCATTTCACTTCCCACATACGGCTGAGCCTATTATTTTGTACATATGACTACTAGAGACTGAGGCGGCGTAGGGCTCAAAAGTATTCGCGAGGGCGTGCTTCTTTCACTTGGCCATTTCGCTTCGAATTTTGACACGTTGACTTTTTTAAACATTCGAATCTACGAACCGAAAGAAGATAAAAGTTAGAAGACCACGCCTTGATGAATGATGTTCGAGCTTTTCAAAAGTGGAACTGCTTCAGAGAACACTTTTACCACTGCTGAAAGCATGACACACTATTCCCTCTGAATGATGGCACGACAGCCCCATGCGTTTGGAAATCAGTAAAATTTCCTGATCTCCAAAATGTACAGGTTTATGCGGATTACAAACACGCTGTGACACACGTTGAGGGGGGGAGAGGTGTAAGACAAAAAGTCCGTCCTCTCCTAATTGAGAACGGAACTAATTGCACTTTTTAAAATCCAAACCGAATGATCCCATAAATGAAAGAGCACATCCTAATCTACCGAAAAACTTCATAACAGCCTTCTATCCAATAGCTTTAGAAGATTTAGATTCTCCTACGCGAGCATGGTGTTCAGTTCGAACTCAATGAGGTCCCTGAAGTAACGTAGCCCATTATGACGAGCTGAACATGCTGGTTGGGAGCGGTCTTGCATATTCAGAGCTAGTGTCTCTAGGAAGCTATTCATCAGTTACCGATTGAAGAAATTATGTAGCAGCTTCAGGATGGAGCGATTACGGTAGGCCTCCTTGAGCTTGACGGTGATGGATGACGTCATATTCTGAAGACGGTTAGGGCAGCGAAGGAGGGCTTGCTTTCACATAGAGAGGCATCTAAGGAATATTCTGCCTTATACTTTCACCGAGGGCGGAACTCCCTGAGACGAAAAGTTTGGTGATGTCAGACCTTCTACGAAACTGCAATCATGGATCCTTATTCACAAGTGGGAAAACACCGAACCTCGTTCGATACCTCCTGCACTCTGTCGGCTTCCTTGGTATTTTGTGTCTGTAAAGGTGCTTTTGCATGAATCGGATCTAACGGCGGGCTTGCATCCGTGGCATCGGTAGATTCACGTCTCATGATCCTGGAAAGAAGATATGAAACACTGTCAACTTAGCACTCCTAAAAATCTACAGCTGTGTTTAATCAAAAGCGTAACAATTTTACCTGTAACTACCAGGACCAGCGGGTTCGTACCGCTGCTGCTGATGGAACTGTGTAGCGTTTGCATGAGCTTGTTGAGGATGTGGACTACCACTATGTGGGGCATGATACGGACCGTACTGCAATGAAAATATAAACAAAACATGGAATAAGAAAGAAGCAATGAATGCAATTCAGACTGAAGTATATTCTCAACAGTTTTTATAATGAGAAAAAATAAACACAAACCGAAGCGTGAGGTGGAATTGGAGGTCGGGAAGGTGCGTGATGATACTGGTGATGCGATGGATGATGCATTCCATCACGGGGTACATGACCGTGATGACCTCCGTACTGATGTTGGTGATGATGCGGTGGAGTACCTTCAGGATGCTCGGCTGCGGCAGCTAAGCGGGCCGCTTCAGCTTCCTCCTGTAAATAGAAAGCGACAAGCATGAAGGTTCACAATGTGTGGGACAAACTGTAAAAGCAATTCTCGAAAAGGGTACAAGCGATCTTGGAACAACTTACAGTTACCTTGTACTTTTGCTGCTCTAAGAGTCGTTCCCTCTCTTGTTTCGCCTCAATCTCTCGAAGCCTTTCTGACGTGTCGACTGGCTTAGCCTCACCAAAGATATCCTTATTGGTTAACTTTTTAGGAGCCACCTGAATCATGAGGTTTATTCAGATCTATTTGATGTAGTAATCACGCATATTAAACCAAATTGCTAGCATACAACACAACGTCTGAGAGAAATTGGAAGCGGTTGGATAAAATACCCTATGTGTGGTCGCATCCATATCTTCCGTACTAGTGCTCAAACGAGACGACGTCCTGGATAACTCCACTCTTCTTCTATCTGGATCAAAGGCGGTGGACTCGGTCCGCGAGCGACTGCAAAACAGACTGTGTAGGAATGACCTGCCTAAAAATGCTTCCGTGATCTCCAGAAATTCAAAAACTTACGAAATTGGACCCGGTTTCTCTCTTTCATCGTGATGGTAGCTGTCAACTTCTCTGTAGTTCTTGACTCCCATAGTAACTACCTTCGTCCTCCACCGTAACTCCACCCCCGATTCATGAATACGCGCTCGACGAGGGGCGTATCCACTTCCTCCATACGGTGCATTGTGCTAAATAATGCATTGGTAGTCATGCTTTATTTGCCATGAAGGAGAGAAATTTGACATGTACCAGGCATCCCACACGATAAGGTAAGAAAATAATGAAAACTCACGTAATAAGGACCGTTTCCGCGATAAGGCTGGCCTCCTGATGGGGGATAACGTCCCATATTGTACTCATCATAATTGTTATAGAACTTTCCGCCACGTGGGAAAGTCCCACCCATTGGTGGTCCACGGTACTGCGAATTGCCACGATAATCGTTCGAATTATTGTAAGGACGATTACTGTAACAAAAAAAAAATCACAATAAATAGGATTTGTCACAACACAAAAGGCAAAGCTTATTTCACATAGACGACTACCTCCTCTCGAAACTTCTTGCATCATTACTGTAAAGACTCGACTGGCTGTTGTATCTGAAATAGACCTGTTGAAAACACCTATTAAAAAGAAAAAAAGGAGACTGGACTCGATGGAAGCTATTGGGATGGTCTCGCAGTAGAAGGGGACGGCGGGAATGTCCGTTCAACCTATGGGAGGGAGAAGGAGGTGTGGAATACTCCACAACATGAAGAAACATCTTTTTGAGTTAAGGAATTTGTCATCACCGTGGTCCTCTTTCCTCTAGGCCATGGCAAATAATCTCCCTGCGCTCGAGGGATCGTTTCTTCGCCCCATTCACCATGGCGCACAAAAAACGAAGAAGTGACATATATACAACGGCACTTCGAAAGTTCAGATACTGCTTGCATAGAAATGAAACAACGGCCTCAGATCGATTTCGTGGGATAGATGCGGTCGATAATGAAACTGTGGACGCCGAGTTGACTGCAAATGAAAAAAGAAACAAAGATGACCACCGATGAAGCTCTTGAACAACCCCCTTCACCCCTTGAAACAAGGAGGCGTGGCTGGACGACTGTCCAAACTAGTTTGCTCGCCGACATTTGCTGGTTCGTGCCAGCAAGAAATGGGGCTGCAGCGCATATGCACCAATATTAAGAAAGACATCTGCACCTATACAAACAAAGAAACACGATAATTGAATGATTTAAGCAATTAAAACCAATCTAAGAACCAGCAGCATCCCTTTAAATGTACTACAGTTCACACGCAATCGCGCAAGTACCGCGCAGGCAATCACGCGGTATCCACAACTAGCAAGTGAGTGGGAAGCACGAAAAGGTGGAGCGCACGAGTTGGCACGTAGCCAATTCCCTTAAGCGGCTTTCCGCAGAGACCTTTGCTTTAGCGACACGTCATATTTTCTCAAAAAGGACTCGCGCATCTTGCCATTCCATTAGTAGCCAAAAGTGAACCTTTCTGGGAGTATTGCTTCAAGTTTCCGTAAACGGCAGGAATAATGAAGAATAACGCATCATAACGTCCCCCTTCCCTCCTTTACTGGAAGAGCGCCGTCACGTGAATAGCAAAAAATTATGATACACTTCAATTTTAGTCAAGAACAACTACAAGTTGCTCAGGAGTAGAACAATAAATACACTATGAACAGTACAAGAATATAAGAAACAATAATACAAATAATACAAATTGAATTTTCTACCTGCTATTATCCCTATTATACGGAGGCGGATCGTTGCTATACTGGCGATTTTGCAGGTCTTGTTGAGATGGTCTTTCACGGATTCTATCTTCTCGGATTTCATACACCTGTAAAGATTGAAAACAGTCTTGCACCCAATCTAGAATCTCTGGGCGAACTTTTTTAGTAAAAGCCGCAAAACCTTGAACTCAGGCTCCATGGACAATTACAGCTGGCAAAAAAGGAGAATGACAAGACGAATCATGTTCCGAAGAACTCTACTCGCGGGTGCGCCACGCGAGAGCGGCGCCCGCGATAGAAAACTGTTGCCGCATCGCAAGGCTCGTTCGCACTCGTAAATCCTGTTGCACGTATCAGCCTCTATTCGTGCAGCATAACGAGATCTTTCAAAAAAGGTAGACATCGCGCCACCGTGAGGAGAGTAGGAGAGAAAGGAATGAAAGATAGTGCCCCGGAAGTAGACATAAAATAGTACCAACCGAACAAGAAGACTCACCAACGTTTAGTCGGTCCAGCGAAGAAGTGAATACAAAAAGGTTGCGTGCATGTGGTACAGCCACAGAAATCTGTCACCGTACAACACTAAATGCACTCAATTCAGGTCCAGAACGAAAAAGCCCTACAACACTGGCGCAAAGTTTTCACAAAGTTTTCTCTTTGCAGTTTTTCTGGAGAGGCTTAGAAGATCGCATAGCAAGCCACTAGAGATGGAACACACATTGCGCTAGTTAAAACGAGGTAAAGAGAATTACGAGAAATCTTAGCTGCCAGCCAAAGATACAGAGCGATGAAGAGTAGGGAACGGCTCGCAGCAGCGCGGAAGCACTAAACATATGGCCGGGTTGGTGCAGGTATGCAAAAAATATCCTATGTGCAGACTTCAAATCAATTGAAAAATCACCACATGTGACACAGGAAACTAAATCGTCGTAAGCAATAATTAACAAGCACATTACAACCATATATGTTACTGAATCAAAATAAAGCGAAAAAGAATGTAATGAGCATACCGAAAATGTCAACTAGCAAGTGCCTCCACATACAAGGAATGAAATAGATGACAATTCTCGATGGATGTGCGCTAGTGGGGCACGCGAAAATCCGACTATAGTGGCCTTCAGTCCAAGTATTTTCTGAGAGATAACAAAATTCGCGGCATTTCCTCCTAAATTTTGAGTTAAAATTGAGAATCACCTGCACAGCGTAATTCTGTGGTTCAGGACCTGTTCGATTGCCATCGTCTCCATCTCCTATATTCTGTTCTCGTGTTTCATTGTCGTCGTTTTTCTCACTCGGAGGAGCAGTCTGCACCTGAGCAAACAAAACATTCGTTCGAATGCTCTCCAATGAACGTTGGATTTATCAAGAAGTCAACTAAAATTAGAGATCTAACGCAAAAAATTTAGAGGCGTTATGGCTTGTGAATTACAAATTGAAATAAAGCTAAATCCACGTCTCCACATGAGAGCAAAAATCTACTAGTAAATTGACAAATAGAGGGCTCCTAAGCGGCATCTTATGGTCTGTCGCCGATGAACTAAGGCGTCCATGGAGATCCGCATAATCCATAGTAGTACCATCGATGGAGGGTTGGCAAACGCCGCATTAGGGCCTGAACTGACTGTTATGAGAGTTGATCAACGATACTGATAATATTCATGAAATATGTTCCAGCAAACAACATCTGGGAAGGCACCGTTCACAACTAACATTGAATTAAACCGATAACAACGAAGAATGGACCTTTGAGGGGAATGTGAGCGATGCAACCATCAGTATTTTACGCAGCACAATCTAGTTTAAGACTATGAATCAAGCATTACGACTGCCTTTACCCAATCATCCGCCTACCTAAGTTCTACTTCATATATTCATACTACCGCTCTCCGTTTCTCGATGCTGTCTCAATAAATAATCGTTTACATCAAAGGACCGTGCAATCACTGTTGAAAATTATCTCGTCATATAGACAGCATGGGAATCATGACTGCAGGCGAGTACGGTAGCACATGGATTGATATGGCAACATGGGCGGCATAATTTCTCTCGATTGATTCGAGATTAATAACAAAGGTTGTGAACCGAGATGATTCATCAACGCGAGCGGGGGCGTAAAGGAGGAAGAAGACATCGAAATCCCGCGTTCTCTAGCTGCGTCTCGGATAACCCTAACGCACGCCTTTGCATGGAGTTGGTCCAGGTTTGGATACTTACTGTTGAAAGCACTTTCGAATATCAAAGGAACCCAGGATGCGAGTCCGTAAATTTTGCATTTTCTACCAAGATGAACATCTGGAACGAAGTTGGACACTTCGAGCATTAGATTCTGTGTCATGACCTATCTCACTTCTTATAACACTAAATCATAAAATTCAACTGCAAGCCTGTCTTTCAATACAAGCAGGTGAAAGAACGCAGACTACGCTCCACCATCGGAAGTGGACAAAGACAAGGTCGGCGACGAAAAGACGAAGCTGGAGAACTGGTGGGATAGAGAGTGGATGCGATCTATGCACGAGGATATACCAGGTTTTTCGAACTCAATAAAGTTTTTCCACATCGAAAGGAAGAAAGCCACCATTGAGCCATGTATGATGCTCCTCAATGTCGATACTGTCACTAAGATGATCATTGAAGACTCAGGTCTAAAAGAATCTAGATGAAGGGTCTTCTTATGAATAAGATACCAAGAACGTCGGTTGAGATTTTCAAACGTCTGCTTGCATAATCATAAGCAGGAGAGATCCATCGACGTTTTAATCGCTCCCATTACAACGCGCAACAAAGCCGGAAACTTTGGGTCGTGAACTGGACACGGAGTCAATATGTTCAATCAACCAATTACTGTTTGTGGAGAACACACCACCCTATGACGTAAACTGCTACTTGACCCTCTGCGAAAATTCTCTCAAAAGGGTTCTACGTGAGATGCTCGCCAGCACTGACCTAATCCAATAATGTCATCCCTTCTCTCTGGAAAGCCTGCGTCAAATTTCTTCGATGTGATCTCCAGTGATACTGAGATACTCGCCTCTCGCAGCATCTTTCTACCCTGACTAATTAACCCATTACGCGACCAGATGTGCAGCCACCGGCGACTGAGACGCGAAATCTCTTTGGGACAGAGGGTCAAAGGGCCACCGGTGGCTGAAAACTAGCGGAGGAGGAGGGACAGGACCGCGCGCCTCAGACGCGCTAATCTTGTCCTGTGCGACTGGTCCGACCGAGCAGTCCTTAAAGATCATCCGCGCGGTCGCCCGACTATTGAGCGTTTACAGATTGAGAGTAGACTAGATTGAGGTAAGGAGGAAAGACCAAAACACATTAAAAAAGTAGCAAATACTGCTAAAACCAGGCAACGCTTAATGATTTGTTCCGCAAGTATTTATGAGTCCCAAACCATCCTAAAGACGAGGTCTGAAAATGAAGGGGCCTGTCACATTCGCTCACTGAATGCTAGATCGTGATCTCCCTCTCCCTTTCAGAAAACACATTTGTTCTTCTGAGACTTTCCCCCATGAATTACTTTAACAAAATCGATGCAAACACAAGACAAGCCCCTATTTCTGAAAAAAAAGGTTCAGCCAACAAAATATGTCAGACTCCCTCCCACCTATTCAATACCTACTGATCTTTGCAATTACTCTCCGTTACCACTCACAGAACGATGATGAGGAATTAAGAGAAAAAAAACTGACTGATCATCCCCTAACCATACACGACCGTCAGAAAAGACATCACCCTAAACATTATGAATATTGATTTTGACTTGTTTTTGATGTTTAAGAGCTGTTTCTGGCCGCAATTCGCCTTGCGGCTAGGGTAAGTATACCATGAAAAGCTAAGTTGGGATGAAATGGTGCCCCGGTAGCATGATTTGGTAGCGCGCTTGCCCGAAAGCGAGAGGTGCGGGTTCTGAGTCCCGTCTGTGAAGGTCTGTGTTGCCAACACATATGCCATACCCATCGCAGGCCCTATATCCCGCCCCAAGCTTTGGAGCAAATGTCCGAGTCAAGCAGTGCCCCCGCACTCACGACTGCATGAGAGGAAAGGAGAAGCAAAGGTTTCAGTGATACGCTAATCGAACAGTCTAATCATTCCATTCTCTGAAGCATCACACCAACGACAGGCGATATTTGCAGCCTCCACCTCACTAGCTCTTCTGGCATTCTCCTGACATACTAAACTCTATCCTAGGTGGTGAATTTCCACCCTATTCATAACTTCCGCGAAGAGAACTCATTTATCCATGGCGTGATGATAAGAGCCCACATCACGCTCTTTTTTCACAAGGCGTGATAGGAGTTTTCAATGACTCCATCTAAAGTGGAAGCACACAACGCGAGCTTCAACAGCTGTGAAAATACTGTCTCAGAAACGCAGAATCAAAAAATAAGATAGAATTGAAATAAATGGTCTAAAATCTAAAGTATACCAACCTCCGCCTCCTCCTGAATCGGATGGATTGTTCACTGACATGGCTTGAAAACTCAAGCAGCTTGTTATTGTCTGAAATTAATAGCTACTCTGATTATAACACTGAAGCAATTTTGAAAGCATCTTATCAACACTCGTTCCAACACAAAAACAAATATAGAACACGAAATTCGGCACAAGTAAAACTTGAAACGTAAACGACACAGTACAACTAATGGCGACAGACCGGTAGCCAACGTTCGACTCCACAACAGTATTGCAAATGACTTGCAATCATACCATATTCAGAATGGAGCTATCTTGTGATACTGATCAGGGAATACTACAATTGTAAACAACCAGCCCAGGTTTCAGTTCATCTTCGTTTCAAGGAGGACACAATTCAGTGCAGTTCAAAAGACGTTGCAGCTGAGATCGCAATGAACACGCTTAATTAGGCTAGAGTATTCGAGTGATGTCGGGCGCTATCGCAAGATACAGGGGCATTGTGGTGGCAGTGCATTCAAAACCGCGTAAAACATGCTCTTTTTGTTAAAAACGGGACTAAGCCTTGGCGGGGAGGAGAGACTCCAAGGTGCGTGAGCCATTTTCATTTCCCCGAATTCCTGCCCCTCCTAGGCTTAGTCCTAGAAGATGCCCCCGTATGTTGCGATAGCGCCTGATGTGGCTTTCTTTCCAACCATTAAGTTGTCTCTTTAGACAGACCAAGATTCATAGGTGTTACTCAAAACCCTTCCTATAACAGGTAGGCCCGTATTGCTCCTGTNAGATTGCCCATTCAAAAAACACAATGCAACTAAGGAATAAGAGCAAAAATTTACAAACCCGCCTAATTTATGGTTATCGAAACCATACCAGATTGGTTACCCACCTAATGCTTACGCTAACATAAATAAAATCAATTAAAGCAACAAGATGAATGTGCCAACAATCTAGTTAGTTTATAAATTTCTCCTAATCTTAACAAATAGCAAATTTAGATTAACTAAGCGTTAAATCAAACTACCTTTTGTCTAACCTCCGCCTTAATATAAACCGGTTTTACAAATTTCCTCAACCTACCGCAGTCGCAGATCACTTTCATTCTGTCTTTGTTTTCGTTCTGCCTGTTATGATTAAACAATTATTCTTCTCAAAGGCAGTAAAGGTTCGGAAGTTTTTCCTAAGCCATTACCAGCGCTTAGGTCTCAGCGCATTTAGTCTGAAATGATCAAGATTTGAGGTGAAACTGCAGAAAAATAACTCGTCAAAGTGAGACGAGGCTCTGACTGCGCTGGAAAAGAAAATTGCCACGGATCAATAACCTCGTGGTGAAGTTTTTGCATGCAACTAGGCAAACAATAGAAATGAACGTCCAAAAACGTCAGCTTGCAATGCTTTCTTAACACTGTACCCCTCAACATTAACCTCCTAAAAAGGGTCACATTACGTCAGAAGGTTACAGAAAACAGCAGAGGATGGTTGACACAAATTCGCCGACCGCGAAACTCTGAGACGAAAGATATTAAAAAAGTGTCGTTCGGCAATTCTTCACTTATGAGACTCTGATGCGTATAAGGGACATGGTCAATAGAGTGAATCAAAACCGAATAACGCTAGAATCATACAAAAGCAAGCAGTTCATTACACAAAAAGAAAAACTAAGAAAATCGTTTCGGACGCGTGAAATAAGGCAGGGAAGTAATCACAAACGCCATCAGCTCTTACTCTGATTAGAATTGCTTTGAATTTATTATACACTTCGGCATTAACTGCTCCCATCCATCCCCCGAAATAAGCCTTGAAACATTCAAAGTTTGAAATGCCCCGAAAAAGGTAGAAACCGTCGGCTTAGAGAGTCGAAAAAACTCATAACAAAAACAAAAAACGATTGACCCTTAAAAAAACAATC